TATATTAAATTAATTTGTTGGTTATTTTGGTGATCTATTTGGAAAAGATCTACCTTTTGTTATAGAAGATTTGAAAGATCCTCTCTTTTTTCAACCTCAAAAGGGTGCAAAGTTTGGATTTTGTCACTGGTTAGGCCTATTAAGTTACTGGTTTTTTAGATTTGGTTATAGAGGAATTAATTTTGTTTGGCAACTAATTATTTGACTTTTTTATGCGGACAGATTTTCTTGGAGTGTGCTCAAGGCGGGTTTTGGCCTGTGAGGTGGATTAGATTTTCTGTATAAAGTTGATTCTTTGAGAATATTTGGTGATTTAGGAGATGACAATTGGGGATATAACAACAAAGAAGGAGAGGAAGTCAAGGAGGAGCAAACATGTTGTTGATGAGAAGGCTCCATTGTTACCTAAAAGGCAAGATGAAGATGTTGGTTATGATGAATTTAATGGAGCTTCTTTTACTGGGGCAGTGTTTAACTTGTCAACAACAATTGTTGGTGCTGGGATCATGGCCTTGCCTGCAACCATGAAAGTTCTGGGACTAATTCTCGGGATTGCTATGATCGTCTTTATGGCATTCTTAACTAATGCGTCAATTGAGTTCTTGCTTAGGTTTAGCAGAGCTGGCAAAACAACTTCTTACGGAGGTCTTATGGGAGATGCATTTGGGAAATATGGGAGAATCTTTTTGCAAATCTGTGTTTTGGTCAACAACATCGGTGTACTTATTGTATACATGATTATTATTGGTATGACTTCATTTCATACAACTGAGTTGCATATCTGGTTGTTAGTTGATATTTAATTGTGTTCTGGACATGTGCTGCGATCGTTGCTTTTGTTGACTTAGTTATTTCGTAAATTGTCCTTGCCTGATCCTATGGAAATGTGTAAATTTGCTTATGAACTTATGATGGTTATTGTTTCTTGAAGGTGATGTGCTTTCTGGAACATCGTCAAGTGGAGTTCACCATGCTGGTGTCCTTGAAGGGTGGTTTGGAGAACACTGGTGGAATGGGCGTACCTTTGTTCTTGTTGTCACAACACTGGGTATCTTCGCTCCATTGGCATGCTTTAAGCGGATTGGTTAGTGTTTTGATTGTGCTAGCTTTTTACTTAATCATCTTGCTTGTTCTTAATGGATCATTAGATATTAAAAGGTTGAGGCGATCAAAACATAGTTAAAGCAGAAAGCTGGGATGTTAATTGGTAAATATTAGGTTTATAATTATTTTGGTATTTTAGAGTAGCTCTATAGTTTTGTTTTCCAATTGCCTCATTAGGAATTTCAAATATGATATCAATTCCTGGACGATCTAGTCCAAGCATATTGTGTTTCTTTCTTTTGTTTTATGTGTCAAGTTTCTGAATCAGATATTGTATTCCTTTTCAAATTATCTGATATCTTCAAAACTGGTTGATACATATGCAATCAGTGTTTACAATGTATCATGTAGTATTTAGCAGTACTCTTTTGCTCATGTTTGCACCTTTCCTAGCATGTGAACTTTCAGAACCTCATACATTTTAGTAGTAGAAATTTAAGTGGGATAGTTTGTATTGCACGTTTATCATTTAGTTGTACATATCTAACGAGCAGTTACCCTTTCTCATGGTTGCAGATTCATTAAGATTTACATCCGCCTTATCAGTTGCTCTGGCAGTTGTGTTTCTTGTCATTACTGTGGGTATAGCAATTGTCAAGTTGATTAGTGGAACCATACTGATGCCTAGGTTGCTACCTGATGTCACTGATTTGACCTCATTTTGGAAACTCTTCACTGTAGTCCCTGTTTTAGTCACTGCATATATCTGCCATTACAACGGTATGCAAGTTGATTCAGTAATTAAGACTCTTCATTAAGCAATGTGTTTTTGTTTATGTTGGTGCAGTATAATAAGAATGACTGATATTCTTGTGTGCTTAAATTTGCAGTTCACAGCATAGATAATGAACTGGAAGACTCTTCCCAGATAAGACCTGTTGTGCGAACAGCACTTGCTTTATGCTCAACTGTTTACATAATTACAAGCTTTTTTGGTTTCCTTCTATTTGGTGATGCAACATTGGATGATGTGCTTGCCAACTTTGATACTGACCTTGGCATTCCCTATAGCTCCTTGCTTAATGATGCTGTCCGTGTTAGCTATGCTGCTCACCTCATGCTTGTGTTTCCCATTGTCTTCTTTCCACTGCGACTCAACATGGATGGCCTCCTCTTCCCTTCTGCAAGGCCTTTAAGTCTGTCCAATACAAGGTTTGCTTTTATTACTGCTGGGCTCATCACGGTTATCTTCTTGGGTGCAAATTACATACCTAGCATCTGGGATGCTTTCCAATTCACTGGAGCAACTGCTGCAGTTTGCCTTGGGTTCATTTTTCCTGCTGCTATTACTCTTAGGTGAGTTTTTGGCCTTCCATTCGATTAGATATCAGCTATGTTTAATTCCCTTTCTTTCAAATTGGTGTTCAACTTTCAGATATCATACATTACGGTACAGTGTTAATGAAGCTAGATATTTATTCGTTATGAGATAAAACTAAAACTGAAACATGGTTGACTTAGTGGCTCAAAAATGTTAATAAGAAAATAAGGTTAGACTGCATATGGAACTTGATTTGCATTTAAAATTGGTGAGACATTTTTTTAATGTTCATAATCTTGAAACATTCAGTATAGTTGTCAATGTTCCAGAATCAATAGATGTATTGTGAGTAAAAAAAGAGCACCCTCTTAGGTTCATCTTTGCTTTTGAAGTGGACGTTGTTATTACTACTGTTTCTCCTGCCCAATCTGGCCTACTCTTTTGCGTAATATTGTTTGGTTTAAGTTCTTATGTCTTGCTTGTTTTCAGTAGATTTCATTTGCTGACTGTCATCTATTGAATTTGGTTCAATACTAATCATCTTCCATTTGGTGTTTCAGGGATTGCCACTTTATAGCAACAAAGAAAGACAAGATCTTAGCTATTTTCATGATTGTGCTTGCTGTATTCTCAAACCTGGTGGCCATATATAGTGATGCCTATGCTCTGTTTAAAAAGAATTCAGGAGCAGGACCCAGGGCATGATCTATCTGGCTGTTCCTTGATTGCAGAAAGGAGATAAGGTCAAGTTTCCTTGACAAGACCTTGATTTATGGAGTCATTTGTGGTCTAATTCAAAAATCTGGGTTTCGAAGGAGGTTTGATAAGCTACTTAATAAGATGAACCTTCTTCCAATGTATAAAGTTAGATTGTTAGGGAAGTGTATGGAGTTTCATACATCATAGCTCCCCCTCTCCCCGATATGCAATATTGTACTGCTTCATGCTTGATTTGAATCATGTTGTGTAGACTTAAAATCAAGTTGTAAAAAATTGCAATATAGTATATTCAGATTTGTGACAGACTAATCGTCATGGTTTTATTAAACTGCTTTCCTGTTTTTACAGTATTTATGTTCTAGCCTTTCTAGCTCGAGGAGGGCTACCCACTCTAAAATCTATTTACGAAATCCAAAACAAAAGGGAAAAAACAAATGGTTACCTGTCCAGTGAGAGGAGTTGTGACAATCGCCAAGGGACTGAAATGAGATGTATTAGTGTGATTGTTTTTGTTTAATTAGGAATTATCGAAACCCTTAACCCTATTATCCAATTCTAACCTCTAGCTAAAGTTGAAGAGAAAATCGTCCCAGGCGGCATCATCATGCATCCAAGGAGTGTTTAGAGGTCCGTAACTTCATGTTCTTGCTCTTTTGTTTCTCTATTTTTCTTTTTCTTATTTCAAAGCACAAATCCCATAAAATCTCATTAATTAATAATGAATGAATATCGTGTTAATTAAACAGTATAATCCATGTCCTTTTCACGGAATAGATGGTTTTTCTGTTAATAATCGGAAGAGTGAGAGAAAGAGAGATTCAATGCTTGGAGATAAGCAAGTTGGTGGTGGCTAATTGAGTATTACCTCAAACCGAGATGTTAGGATGTTTTGAAACTGGAAACATCAATAGTCAGTCATGTATCATAAGGAAAATGTAACCACCTTTTTTGGTCAGAGATCCATCTGACCATATGTGCATTATTATCGATGAATGGCAGGTGACGCTAAACTTTTATGTTTGGTACATTTGGTTCTTTATATTTGACTACAAAGTTCGTGATTGTCTTGCACGTACTTCCATCATTTGTCTTTTGTTATTAAGATTTCTAGCTTCTGTTTCTTCTTTCCTTTTTCCTCCTGTTTTTCCAATTACTGTTGTATTCTTCTGTTTTTTTTTTCCTTTTCTTCTCTTATCTTGGTTTGATCATTTTCCAGTTTTGAACTTCAAAGAATTAAATTCTAGGCTCCAATTAGTACTCCTTTTTCTGTTGTTTTGTGTCCTAGCTTGAAACATATCAAGTTTTCTGGTTTTTTAGTTCTTCCAGGTCTATACAATGCTTTGATATGTGAGCTTTTAAAGTACCAGTAATTGTTATCTTCTTGTTTCAGACATTCAAAAACCAATTCCCTAATGATAACTGGGTTTATTTTTTTTTTCTCTTTTTCTATTGATTTTCTAAAGAATCTACTTCATAATTGATAAATTGAGCTCTCAAGGTATTGTGTGGTGACTTCATCTGCTCCCAAGTTTTCATCAGTACAAAAATGACTATTGAAACATTTGAAAACATTCCAAAGGAGCGCGAACAAATTGCTGACAAGAGAGCCCCTTTGCTACCAAGAAATCGAGATGAAGTAACCCAGGTCAATAAAATTGGAAGAGCTTCTTTCCATGGATCTGTGTTTAACTTGACATGCACCATAGAGCTTGCCTGCAACCTTGAAAATTGTGGGGGTAGTTCCTGGAGTTGTCCTGATTGTCCTTGCTGCACTCTTGACTCAGGCATCAATTGAGATGTTGTTGAGATTTAACAAACCAGGATCAGCATATTCCTATGGTGATCTAATGGCTTATGCCTTTGGAACCGTTGGAAAAGTTCTAGCTCAAGCTAGTATTATCATAAACAACATTGGCGGTCTGATTGTGTTTCTGATCATAATCGGTGTAAACTAAATGCCTTGCATTCATTTTAATATTTGGTCAGTATCTGATTTGATTACATCACTTATTGATTACCGTCATTTTTGCTTTGCTTGAGCAGAGGATGTGCTATCAGGATCAACTTCCAGTGGGGTTCACCATGCTGGTGTTTTGGAAGGCTGGTTTGGAGAACATTGGTGGACTAGTTGTGCCTTTGTTGTTCTAGTCCTAACAGCAGTTGTATTAGTTCCCTTTATATGTTTCCAGCGCATTGGTTAGCATTTTACCTCTGCCCTTCCCCTGTTCGAATGACAATGAATACTTTCTGATGCTTAGTTTGCTTCTATTGTAAAGCTGCTCTGCTACATTTTTTGTCTTTTCTGCAGATTCCTTAAGATTCACGTCTGCTATATCATTTGCATTGGCGGTTGTGTTTCTAGCTGTTGTTATTGGAATCACAATATACAAATTCATAAGGGGAAGCATAGAGGCGCCTAAATATTTTCCTAGTATTACCAATCTGTCATCCTTTTGGGAGCTCTTCACTGCTGTACCTGTTGTTATCTTTGCATATCTCTGCCACTATAATGGTACACAAGCAACTCTTGATCATTGATTGGTTGATAATTTTATCTTGGAACATATGAAATTGTACCTATCACCTTGTGCCTGTCACTATCTTCAAAGAATATTAGTATCCCAGTTATTTTTAAACGACATACAATCTTATAGGTAATTTGTTTTCAGAGAAGAAAACAATTAAGAAACTGCTTAGGTCATTTGTTCTATGTCTCATATTCTTGTCAAATGCATTTCAACTGCTTCAGTTGTTTAAACTAAATCACATCTGATATATGCAGTTCATCCAATTGCTAACGAGCTTGCTGACTCTCCTAGTATGCCAGCAGTGGTGAAAACTTCAGTTGCTCTCTGCGCCATTGTGTATGTAATGACAGGCTTATTTGGGTTCTTCCTGTTTGGTGACTCCACTCTTTCTGACCTGTTGTCCAACTTCGACAACGATCTAGGCCTACCATACAACTCCCTCTTCAATGATATTGTTCGAATCAGCTATGCAGGTCATATCATGCTTGTTTTCCCCATTATTTTCTTCCCTCTGCGCCTCAATGTGGATGGCCTCCTTTTTCCCTCAGCTACACCTTTGTCTTCAGACAACTTAAGGTTTGTACTGGTCACTGTTGGGCTCATTGCCATTATTCTGCTAGGTGCAATATTCATTCCCAGCATATGGGTAGCGTTTGAGTTCACTGGAGCAACTGTTGGAGCTTTACTTGCCTTCATCTTTCCAGCTTGCATTACTCTCAATTGAGTCCCTATTTCCTTCATCATTCTGAAATATTTTGAACCTCTTTGAAATTTATATGCCTGAACATTGGGGAGAATCCATCCGTTTTCAACAATATGCTGAAGAATTTGATAGTTTGCTATTATCTCGCCAGGGAATTTTCAAGCTAATACTTATCTGCCTTTTATGTTAATAATTCATCAGTTGTGAAACTCGATCAAAAGCATATCTCTTTGCTATTTCAGAAGATAGAAATCGAGAAGATATGAGAAACCATGTGATTGAAATTATAGTTGTCTCTTGTTGAAAGGTCCAAGACAATTAAAGAAATGAGTTAAACTTCATGTTAGCTATCTCTAGCATTCAAGATTCATTGATCCAAGATTTGGACACACTTCAATAACTCCAAGTTTTTGACTATTATTAGGTATTCCCTCTAAAGATTCTATTTATTTAACTATTTTCAGCAGGAATTAGCAAACTGCAGCTGTCCCTGTACTAGTGTAGTAACCAGGGTGAGGGGACAAAAAGGGTTAAGCGAGACATGACCATATACAATGGCTTAGTTGATTCCTAAGGCAGCAATGTTTCATTCCATTTCCTTCTTTGGTGTTTTCAGGGACCCTCATGGTATAGCAACGAAGAAGGATAAGATTTAATCAGTCTTCATGATCATTGTTGCAGTATTCTCAAATGTGGCAGCCATATACAGTGATGCATACTCTTTGTTGACAGCATGAGTTGGGAATGAGTCAAATCAGTGTGCTAACAGAATCACAGAATAAAATTATCATTAATAAGGTCTTTCCAAAGAGTGGGATTTAGTTGAATTTGTACATTTTATAAATCACTATTGCATTGTTTATTCTTTT